AGCCAGCAAGAAGGTTTAGTGTGGCAAAGTAATACTTTGACCCTCTCACACCTTTCTGAAACATCTCGTTCTACAAATAAGCATGAAAGATTGAATTCCAAGTGCAGGTTTTGCAGCTCTATGTATAAATGCAGTGCACACCTAAAGAAACACATTTATTCAGCTCACAAAGATGAGAAAATACATAAATGCTGCTTTTGTAAAAGAACCTTTTTCTTCTTTTTCAACCTTAAGAATCACCTTAAATTGCATAAAAAAATTACCAGGTTGCAAAAGGCAAGAAAAAACAGAACAAATGCAAGAAAAGGGAGGCAGAGAACATCTGAGACCAAGAAAAGAGAACGTAAATATGAGAATTTTTTTGTTAAAATTGAAAGGGACTTTACACCTCTGTGTGTGCCAGTTAGTTTTTCCTGCAGAATGTGTTTCTTTGCTTCATCAAATCCAAGGAGTTTTATTCATCACATGAAGGGCCATAAAGAGAGACCACCATACCAGTGCCCTCAGTGTGACTACTCCTGCACTACCTTTTCCTGCCTGTTAACTCACATGTACTGGCATGCTGGGTATAAGCTGTACCAGTGCAGATTCTGCAGCTTCTTTTCACTGTATTTTGCAAGCATGGTGAGGCACAGCTCCATCCACACAGGGGCTAAACCATGTTCCTGGGAGTTCTTCCAGTCAGCTTTCAGCAGCAGCTTGGAGTTAAAGAGACACAGGAGGCTCCACACAGGGACAGAAACGTGCCAAGGGCAGGAACTTGACTGGGTAAGTGGAAGAAAAAGAACTCGAAGATCTTTAAAGAATTATTCATGTGCTGAACGTAACCTGGTGTTTTACGCTAAAGGAGATCTCAGCTTGCACAAGAAATTTCATGAACAGTTTGAGGCTAATGGTTATAGAGATCAGAGCAAGAAATACCACAAAATAGGCAAAGCTGAGAGTGATTCTCAGGGCCACGTTTCTCTCTTTGGTAGAGAAAATGATTGTCTCAGTGGGGCAATGCTGGCTTCAGAAGTAGACTGTGAGCAAGCAGGTGATGTGCAGGGCAATAAAAAAATGTGCTCTGGAAAGAAATTCCCTGAAAACAGTCTTGGAAGCAACAGCCTGGCTATTACTGGGAATAGATCAGAAGTCACTCGGACTTCACACAAAATGGATGCTGTCCTTTACAAAGAGGAACCTCTCTTCAAATCAGAGGCCTCTCATTCACAAGTGCAAGATGACAGTGCATACCATACCTTTGTGGAAAACTCAAAGGATTCATGTTCTTCCACTTCAAATACATTCAGAACATACATGTGCCAACACTGCAGTTATGCTACTGATGTTCAGAACAACTTCAGGCTGCACCTAAAGATACATACAGATGAAAGACCATTTGTATGTAAAGATTGCAATAAGACATTTAAAACATCCAACCGTTTGCAGAAACACAGCCTCCTTCATGTAAAGAATGAACAGAAGTTGGGCAGTTGCCTCTATGTAGAGAAGTGTTTGGAAAATCTTGAATTGCATCGTGAAATTCATGGAGGCACGTGTCCAGAAAGGGATTTTGGTTCCTCAGAAGGTTCAAACAGCTCCTTGCTTGGTTCAAAAGTCTTTGGAGTACGGCCAGATGTTCAGAGGGACAGCAAAAACGATTTGCTAGCACAAAGTCAGCCATCATTCTACCAGTGTGCAGAGTGCAGGTACAATACTTACAGTTTAAGCAACCTTGAACTCCACATAAGAACTCACACGGGTGAGAAACCTTACAGCTGCACTGTTTGCCAGATGAAGTTTCGTACTTCCAGCCACCTGAAGAGACACAGAGTGACACATTTTAACACAGAGCATTTCAAGTGCAGGAACTGTGACTACTCCACAAACCAATGGCTGGCCCTGAAACGTCACCTGGCTTCGCACTCCGGCGAGGGAAGCTCATCGCTGGGCACAGCTCACCTCTGCGAGCACAAGGAGCTCCCTGTGAAAACGTACCGGTGTGAGGAGTGTGGCTATTGCACGGCCCACAACGGGAACATGAAGCCCCACCTGCGGATCCACACCGGGGAGAAGCCGTTCCAGTGTGGGCAGTGTGCCCTGGCCTTCCGCACCTCCAGCCACCTCAAGCGCCACCTGCTGACTCACTCGAGGCTGCGCTGCAGGAGGTGTAAATACTCCACGCTGGATAAAGGGGCTTTCCAAAAGCACATAAAAACACACCGAAAAAAGTACACCTGCGAGAGGTGTAATGTGGCACTGCCTACCCAGAAACTGCTGGAAAAGCACAAGAGGCAGCACAAGGATGGGATATAAGGTTGGGAGTTGGCACTTGGTTCTAGAGTGGTTTGTGTGTTCAGAACAAGGGCTGGTAAGGGATACATCCAGCATTTTGGTCCAGAGAGTGAAACTTGGAGTACTGGTTTGCTCCAGGTTTTTCAGAGAGGTTCAGTTCTAGCACAGGCTGTGCTAAAGATCTTGGAGACACTTCTTCATGCCTGAGTAACTGCTTAATACCATGAGTCCTGTTAGGATTTGGCCATCACTTTAAACAGTTACTCTGTGCCACTTATTTTCTTGTAAAAAATTAATAAAAATCTCTTTTCTAACTGAAAGAATGCTTAAAGGGAGGGAAAGAAGTACATGTTATATGAAAATTATCAGTGCATCTGGAGGCTTAATGCTACCTCCCATCTGCTGAAAGTTGCCTCCCAGGTTCTTTTGCAATACTTGTAAGAGAAGAAAAAAAGTCTCTCACAAAACTATGGAAACAAAATATTCATGTCAACGCTGCATAACTGTGATACGAAGATGTTTTCTATATGTATATAAAAGGTTTATTAGGCAGTTACCTTGTTTGTAGTTTTGATAATTTTGTGAGCAGTCTGACAGGAAGGGTAATGTCCTGAATAATTTATTTTATGACACTGAGAATCCTTAAATTAATCTTCAGTTTTATGTTAGTGTCTAATGTTAATAACTGTGATAGAAAATGCCTTACCTTTTCTCAGGCTGGTTGTTACTGTGTTGTTTGTTACAACAGATGATGTAATTTTCAAATAACTTCTGTTATTTTGAGCACCTGCTGATAATTGTGGATGCTATTTAGTTACATGGAAAACCTTAGGAATGTCTTGAACTGCTTAAATTTATTTTAAGAACTTAACTGTTCATCTAAAATACCATGTAAGAGCCACCTGCACCAAACAGTTGGTACAGAGTATGGTGAAGGCAGGTGCGTGCTGCTTCCAGTTTCTATTTATATCTAGACAAGTCTTTGATTGTTTTACAGTTATAGAGTGCTAGAAACTTTGAGTGGATATCACTGACTA